CTTATTCCAGGCCCGATGGTGCTGGGCTTAGTGTCTCTCTCCCAGATGTCATCGGATGAAATGGAGGGAGGGCTCTTCTTCTTACACTAGACCCGATGGTTCTGGGGATTAAGTTCAGCCAAGCTATAACTATCTAGTTCCGTGGATACCCATTTGGTGGAATATTACTCTGTGACAAGTTGGGAGAATTGGTTTAGTTGGAAGGCATGATAATAGAATTTGACATTTGGGATCACTAAGGGCCTCTGCAGACTGGCCCAAAGGGCTGGCCTGGAGGCAGAGATGGAGTGGGGCAGCCGCACGCCGGCCGTCCCAACCTCACACCGATGCCATCCTGATGCTGTGTGCCGTTATGTATGGCGTGCAGCACCAGGACGCCTTTCCGGCGCAGCATTTTGACACACTGAGCCAGAAAGGGCACTAAAGAGCCATGCGCTGGCTCTTAGGGTGGCCTTTTGCCGTCCCTGAAAGGAGCGGCACAAAAGGGAGGATCAGGGCTGCGGCCCCAATCCACGGTTAGCAGGGGAGGTCCAGAGCCAGCTGTCTGCATAGCCCCTAACCCTCCTTCCCCAGTATTAGTATATCTAACAGATTTAGGGAATCTTGGTCTTTTTCTGTTGAATGTGTAATCATTAATCATCTTTTGCCAGAATTTGAATTTGAGAGGAATTGGACAAATAGGTATAGATTGGAATAGAAAAAATAAGCATGGGACAAGAATCATCTTTACAGTGGCAGTCTTCCCAAGAATGGAGAGGTTTAAGTATTTCCACTCCCTGATTCTTACTTTCATCCATTTAGTGACAGGATTATAGTTCCTGGGCACCAATTGAGATAAATCTTTTGTGATAAGAATGCCTAGATATGTGAATCCAGGGGGACATAATTTTAATCCAGAGAGGTTTGGCTTGGTCTGAAAGTGGAGTATTCAAATACATCAGTTTAGATTTTTGAAATTGATCTCAAGCCCTGATTGGTCACCTCAAGCTAATGATGGGGAATCCTCAGCATCAACATAATAGATCACCACTAGTTATATTCAGAAGTATGTGGTGGAGCTTGTTTGCATGCTAAGGTGACGTATGGACTGTTGGATCCAGAAAGGTTTAAACTCTTGTTGCCCCAGGAGATTTGTATATGGAAAAGTCTATGTGCATGCTGCAGAAAAATCTTTATCTTTATCTGGGGGATAAAAGGAAATGTTCAATATTGTTGCCAGCATCACAGATGAATAGCAAGTGGGCTAGAATGATCCTGGTTTGGGCTCCCTCTTCTTGTGTGTGGTTTGATCCATCCAGGCATCATCCCGTGCAGAGACCTACTTCTGGAATGGGTATAAAGATGAGAGTTGAGAAATACCACTTTAATAATGCAAGATGAATTGAAACATAGAAAGAATATATGTCCAAGGATAAGGATTTTAACTTATATGTTTAATATTGTTTCAAGGGGAGGGTGGGTTTGGGAGGGTTTATTGTGATATTTTACTGATGTAAGCCACCCCAATTGCTTCAGTAGAGGGGTGGGATAGAAATTATTATTATTATTATTATTATTATAGTAGAAGCCTTGTTTGCTTTCTTGTTGTCACGTTGGATTGCAAGACAATTGAGGATGAAAGACAGCATTTACTTGGGGTGATGCCATAACTTTAAAAACACCCACTTGATAAAGATTTGTTAAGTGTCCACTTTGCAGGGTGAACTGTTAAGACAGTCTTCGCTATAATTTTCATTTTGACAGTCTTTTCCCATTGTAGCAGCTGTGATTCTGGTAAATCTATTTTTGTCTTGGACTGCTTTTACCCTTTGTTATATTGTTTTAAAAATTTCATATGTTTTCATATTTCTTTATTACATTTACATACAACTTTTTTGCAAAAAATACTATACAGTCAGCCCTTAGTATCTGTGGGGATTCCATTATGGACACCCCCGTGGATTGAAAAAAACATGTGACCTCAAATCTTGTGGTTTTAAATGGCAGTGCATGCACGCGTGGCCATTAGAGACAGTGGGACTTCCTGTTCGCAGATGCTTAAATTTGTGGATGGCAAGCCCGTGGTTAGGGAGGGAGGACTGTATTTAATCTTTTAACATTGTGCCCTTGGTGTGTGTTGGAGTTTGGTTCCAGGACCCCCCATGGATACCAAAATCTGTGGATGCTCAAGTCTCATTAAAGACAATGGGGGGACAGAGTGGTAAAGTGGTGTCCCTTATATAAAATGACAAAATCAAAGTTTGCTTTTAGAAAAATTAAAAAAAAAATTTCAAGCTGTGGATGGTTGAATCCATGGATGCAGAAACCATGGATACAGAGGGCTGACTGTACTGTACTCAGTGTTGTAAGCCACATTGGTACTCTTTTGGCAGAAAATATTAAATACTATGTACCTTCTGGCCCCAAAGCTGTCCCTAAATTCTCCCCATTACCTGCACATTCTGGAGCAACAGGAAGCTGTTTACACAGTGTTCCACTGTGCCACTTAGCACTGCTGGTGGTGGTGCAGGTCGTTCCCTCTGAAGTAAAAAATGAGGTGTCCAATCACATGGCCAGACCTCTTATTGTGATCTCAGCCACCTGACGTCACTCAGTACCCTGGACTTTCCTAGATCCAAAGCAAAAAGCAAGCTTGCTTGGATTCAATGTTGAACTAGTCTTCCCTCATGAAGACAGTCTGCAGGCTTTGGCCCTCCACCATAAAGACAGGTCATGACAAGGGCAGGGGAAAACTGATGTTAATGGCCCAAGTAGATATGCCCTATATGCCTGCTCCCTTCTTCCACATGTACTTTAGAAGAAGCAAGCACCTGACCTTTGCTCAGAACTTGCCTGCTGGAGTAAGTGGGGAAAGACTTAATAATGGCTGTTGACCTTCTTTTTGCTTCCCTATTCAAAAGACAAAATCAGTGGAAGTACTGAAATACAAATACGCACACACACACAAAACCTTCTGTTGTCTTTGGGACCCTGCTGCATGATGTAGAATTGTTTGCCCATTGAGAGGGCTTCTCAGAACAATCATGTAGTGATAATTGTTTCAGGCAGGCAGCAGGCCTTCATCAAAAGCAGAGCTTTTCTAGATCCCCCCACAGATGCCAAAATCAGTGGATGATCAAGTCCCATTAACTTTAATGGTGGTGCGACCATGTGGCCACTCTAGCATTGGGGACAATGGCACTTTGGAGGAACTGCTTCCTCCTCCTCTTCCCTCCTCCCGGCTGCCTCTTCCTCCTCCCTTCTCCTCCTCCTCTTCCCGCCATCACCTCTGCCTCCACCTCTTCCCCGCCACCGCTTCCTCCTCTTCCTTGTTGCCGCCCCATGCTGCCCTGTTTCTTCCTCCTCTTCCTCCTCCTCGTTCTCCTCCCTGCTGCCTTGCCACCCCACCGTGTCCCACCACTTCCTTCTCCTCCTCCTCCTCTAGCATTGGACTGTGGCTCTAGAGGCCAGGATTCAATTTCTAGCTCAGCCATGAAACCCCACTGGGTGACCTTGGGCAAATCACACTTAAACCTCCTCTGAAAAAATCTTGCCAACTTGAAGGCACAAAACAAACACACACATCATACAAATAGAGGGGAAAGGGAATTCCTGCTGGTTTGCCTTCTCTTTATGCAGCAGCCTACTCGAGGCAATGAACTACTACCACATTGCCATAGCAAGCCTCCCACGTGCCCTCACTGTTTCCCCTCCTCTTCAACTGTAATGCCGAAGAGGTGTCCATTTGGTTGGATCTGGACTTGAGGAATTTAATTTCCCCTCAGCTTTGTTATGGGCCCATGCATCGAGGGCTTCACCGTTTTCTTCACCATCACCCGCTTCAGGCAGCGAGGGCCCAGAGGATGGTTTGGGAAGCAAAGAAGGGACCAAAGTAGATATATATTAGTCCAGCTCTGGTAGTGACGGTACGAGGGTGAATGATGGTACACTAACCATGAGAAAGGGGCAGTTGGAAAGCAATGGTGTGGGGAAATGGCAGCAGTGGTAGTGCCTTGTTTGAGTGGGCATCCCTTGGAGGAAGGAGGAGATGTTAGCAGTGATATATTCAATATATAGTATGAAGCTGCATCCACGCTGCAGAAATAATCTGGTTTGACACCACTTCAGTTTGACACCTCCCTGCTGCTGCACTATGTTGTGCCTTCCTCCTCCTCTGTCTCCCCCCGCCATGGGCTTGCCATCTGTAGATAAGGAGGGCCCACTGTATTTTCCTCTTGTTTTCCTACCTTTTATTCATTTGTGTCTTGTGTTAAATTAAGATTGTAGGCTTGCATTGAAGGCAAGGACTTGTCACATTGATTATCTTGTAAGCTACATGGAGAGTCTTTTTGTCTAAAGAATTTTTATTGATTTGATTTGAGTTCTATTCGACCTTTCTCCACACAGGATCCAAGGCAGCCTACAGTTGTTGTTGTTTTTTGTTTGTTTGTTTTAAACAGGGTACCATCAAAACATTATTTATGCAAAAGTTTTTTAAAAAATAATTGATAATTTAGTTAAAAACAGAAGATGAAAAAAGTATAAAAACACAAGACATAATAAAAAAAAGAGATAAAAACATGTTATTGTTGTTTCCATGGCCAACTGGGAATTCAAACCCTGGTCTCCAGAGTCTTAGTCTAATACCCAAACCACTACACCATGCTGGCTCTCTGAACTCCAAGTATTTTCAATTAAATCTCTGTTCCAAAAATTACTGAATTCATTCCAAAGTTAGTTTCCTGCTTTGTCAGGAAATTGTTTTGCTGTCTTATTGCCTGAGTGGCAAAATAATTCAGAGAAGAGGAAAAGCTGTGTAAAACCCTTCTGATAAAATTTTCATCTATTAACAAGTTTTCATTAAGTCGGCAGTTAGGTTGGGTTCCCCCCCCCCCCCCGTTTTCATTTCTAAGTATATTGGGTTATGATCTGATTCTATTTTTGGAAGTAGTGCTTAAGTTGAAGGGTACCCCTGCTTCTCATTTCCAATGAAAAGGTGAGTGATGCATGCAAATATTGCTACCAAAAACACATTCAAATGACCATTGGCACTTTCCTCAGAAAGTTTCCTGTGATTAAGTGATTGAAGGAAATCACTGAAGCAGGAGTAATGCAATATACCCATATGATTAAATCTACTTCATGTTTTTCTGTGCTGCTCATGGTTGGATGAGCTCCATTCAAGAGGCCTAAGCAATACATACAAATAAAACTGCCAAGTTCCAAGGCCTGTGGGGGAAAAGACCTGCACACCAGTATTTGTGAATAGCAAAGAATTTTGAAGGGTAAAAAACTATTCAGATTTTGAGTGTTGGCCTTAGACTTAGGGAGATCCTAGATTTAGTCCCTAACATCTCTAGTTAGTGACTGGGAACGTTTTCCCCTCATAATGTGGTAAAAAGGGAACATTTTTTATTTGATAAAAAAACTAAATCTATAGGAATAATTAATAAAGAATTCGAAGATATAATTCAATCCGATGACAGAAATAAAATATCTAAACTTTATAAATTGTTATTAAAGATTGAAATGGAGAATGAGGTGGTCAAAACACATATGGTAAAATGGGCACAGGATTTAGGACAGGACATAGAATTGGAGCAATGCTGGAACAAAAGATTAAAATATACTTTTATGATATTAAAGAAAATTTTTACAAAATGCAACTCCATTGGTATCTTACCCTGTATAAATTAGCCAAAATGTGTAAAATTCAAAATAATTCATTCTGGAAATGTGGCAAAAAGGTAGGCACTTTCTATCAATTATGGTGGAAATGCAAAGAAGCAAAAAAATATTGGAGAAAGATATATAAGGAAATGATAAAAAATATTGAACACACAAATAAAATTAAATCCAAAAATGTATTTATTGGGAATAGTATCAGAGGAAAAATTAGAAAAAGAATATGGAAAATTGATTTTTTATTTGATTATGGCAGTAAGAATTAATTATGCATCCAAATGGAAATTAAAGGAAATACCCACAATTACTGAATGGTTTAGGAAAATATATGAACTCCTGGAGATGGATAAGTTGACAAATTTGATAAGGGAAAAAGGAATTGATACTTTTAAAAAAGATTGGAAACTATTGATTGATTATTGGAGACAAAAAAGGAGGCCTATATACGCATTAGGTTTAGATTAATTTAAGGAAATTCAGAAAGTATGATAGGATATAGGAAAAGTATTAAATAAAGAAAAGTCATAGGAATTATAGGAGAATAGTTATTTAAGTATGACGACACATTAAAGTATTAGATACACGAAATAAGTAAATGCGGGTGGTTTAACAAGACTTAAAAGATGTAGGAAGTTATTTTTAAATTTTCTTATAAGTGTTTATCTTTTTCCTTTTTCTTTTTTGTCTTTTTTCTCTTTTTTCTTCTTTTTTGTTTTGTGATATATATGACAAATGTTTAGTTTTGTAATATATGTGTTTGTTTATTTCATTGTTTTCTTGTTTAATCAATAAAGTTTTTTATATAAAAAAACAAAAAAACAGTATAGTTGTTGATATTTGTAAATATTTTTATTTTTGCATTTTATGTTTCTTTTTACACTTTGATGGGGGGCTCAATTGATGGTGGTAGTGTCTGTATGATATCTTGTGATGAAAATAGGTTGGAGGGTGTGCAGATAGTCAAATGAGGCTCTAGCACAATCATACAGCCCTCTGAAAGGTGCTGGGCTGTGTGTTCCAACAGCACTGGTTAACATGGCCAATGGCGAGGAATGCTGGGAATTATAGTACAGCAGCATCTAGAAGACCACATATTTTCCACTCTCTTGTATCAGGTGATGTGAGAGTTTTAGGTTTCACCTGGATTTAACATATAAGGCTACTGAGACCAAGATAGGCAGAAAAGTGTCTTCTTCCGTAAAATAAAATAAAATAAAATAAAATAAAATAAAATAAAATAGAAAATCCAGTTGTACACTCTGAACATTCTCCGTCCAGGACAAAGCACTCTGTCTTCTTTATCAGTGGGAAAAAAGAGAAAGAAAGTAGCCTTTAAATCAGTAATACTAAATAAGGTACAATTTTAGGTATATTGAAAGGAGTGGCTCCAAAGCATGGCTTTGGGTTCCCAGTTGTTGATAAACTACAATGCCCAGAAACCTGATCCTTGCCCATGCTGTCTGGGGCTAGCAGGAGTTTAGGTCTAACAATATCTAGGAATCCATAGCTGGAAACCACTGCTCTAGGTCTGTGGGATCTGCTTCAGTTTGTCACAGTCATGGAAGAGGTTGCCTGATGCCTCCATCTGCGTAGGGATGCCTCTCATATTTTTCCAAAAACCTTTGAGTGCCTTCTGATGACTTAGGCTTATCTCCAGGTAGTTTTATTTTATTCATAACTCTACCTAGGCATTCTGTTTTTGACCTGCTGCTTTCACTGCCACCTTGACATTTTGTTTTGGTCATAATCTAGGATTGCTGAAAAATCGTCACAGGCTAAAAAGCCCAGTCAGCTATGAAGCTCTCTGGCTGACCATGGGCAAGACTCCTTTCATCCTGCTATCTGTTTCTTCCAGCCTAGCCTATTTCACAGGACTGTAGGGGTAAAATATGGAGTGGAGAAAAGTCTTCTTCTTTAGAGGAAAGGCATGATGCAAATGCAATAATAAATTTAAAGTGACAAGCAGACCAAGCTACATGGGATTAGGTCCAACAGAAGGAAGTGGAAAGTGGTTGTTTCTTCACAATCACATGACTTGCCATAGGTTTGGTACAAGGAGCTTATTGTAGCTAACCTAGCATACTTGTGGTTTCTCCTAGTAGAAGACTGAATAAAGATCCACTACTCGTTCCAAATGGTGCCTATTTTTTGCTTTCCAGCACCTGAAAGTCTGGAACTAGACACTAATTTCCTAATGTAAGAGTCCTGCTGGATCTGATCTTAGGGCCTATGCAGACTGCTAGAAATAGTGCAAATTGAGTCCACTTTAAGGGTTAGGGTTAGGGTTAGGGAATCATGGGAACTGTATTTTATTGTGGCACTAGAGCTCTCTGACAGAGAAGGCTCAATGTCTCAGGAAAAAAAACAGTTCCCATCATTCCCTAGCACTAACCCTAACCCTTAAAATGGACTCAATTTTGCACTATTTCTGGCAGCCTGCAAAGGCCCTTACATTCATTTAGTTGAGCATCATGGTTCCCACAGTGGTCAGCCAGATATCTCCCCAGATCCCCAAGCAGGGTATGGTGGCAGCAGCAGCCCGCTCTTACCAGTACCTGTTGCAAATCCATTGGTACTAAGAAAAAGCAAGGAGAATTTTTCTTGCCTTATTGGAGCTTTTGTAGTCTTGTGTCCCACACTATCTTGGCTTGGCTGCATCCACAGTAAGTAGACACGTTTCAGCTCCCTAATTCTATTCTGTCTGTGTCACTGAGCCATGACATCTCATCTCATCCTGTTATATGGAGTCTTAACAAAAGATACAGGCCTCTGAGTGCTGCCAGGCAGTTACAAGAGCCTGAAGTGAAACTACTTTGCCATGGATATGCTTTATTTTAGCTCTAGCGTGTCTTCAATCCCCTTGGTTTATTTGTGTGCATACATATATTTCTTGTTATTTTGTAATACAGTCATGGCTGCTTGGATTCTTTGAGCTATAGTCCAAAGAAGTAACTTTTCAAACCCTGTCCTGACTTTATGACTCCTGTGTTTCAATTGGTAGTGAAGCAGCTGTGCTGGGTCAATCTAAAGCCCTTTTGAAGTAAGTTTCTAACAGTGGCTAGCTAGGGTATCCATCTGTGCTGGCCCCAGACCTCTTGGTACCTAAAGCAGATCAACAAATGCTCCCAACCATCTCTTTCCTGTCCCACCACCATGGATGAGGCACTGACAAACATCTATTTGGTACTTTTTCTTCTCCATTGTTTGCCACAGCAACAGTGATGTTACAGTTATTCCTACAGACTTTCTGTAGCCAGGCTTTCAGTTTGAAGTTCTTCACTTTAAGGAAGGGCTCAGTTTGACACAAGGTTTTCTGATGAGTAAGGCCTCAGTGATACCTGTAAGAAAAGCACTGCTGCTGCTACTTTGTTAAGGCAGAAAAGAGTTTACAGTCCACCAGTTCAGTCTGTAACAGTATTTATAAGGAGGAAGAGGCAGCCCAGTCACTGTCCAAAGCCATATTTCCCACCGGGCCTCTCTCTCAGGAAGGACCCCATGTTGAGATGTCTCATGTAGGGGCTTTCCCTTTCCTCAGAACAAGGCAGAGCTTCCCTGAAACAAAGAGCTCTTGCAGACTGCCAGAAATAGTCAAATTGAGTCCACTTTAACTGCCCTGACTCATTGCTAGGAAATCATGGGAACTGTAGTTTATTGTGGCACCAGAGCTCTCTGACAGAGAAGGCTCAATGCCTCAGAAAAAAATACAATTCCCATGATTCCCTAGCACTGAGCCAGGGCAGTTAAAGTAGACTCAAATTGCACTATTTCTAGCAGTCTGAGAGAGCCCTATACCAGCAAACAGCTGAAGGGACAGAATAATATGTAGAGCTGAAACTTTTAAATAGAACTTGTGTCTCAAACATTCTCAAATACTTCCTCAGAGTGAGACGTTAAGGTGGCAAGTAGTGTTGAGGAAAGTCTGGAGAGCCTGGAACTCCACTGCTTTGCCAACTTGCTGTTGCCTGAGAAAAGCAGTTAGTTTTGG